GACACTTTGTCAAGTTCCTGGGTCTCTGACACTCTGCAGCTTCCACTCCTGGCTGAGACTCAATAAAGAGATTAGACAGAGAGTATCATGGCAGCAGTAGCTCCCACGATTGGGCACTAGAACTGCAGGACCAGCGCCTGCTACCTCTTTACCTTAAGCTATATTCAGGCCCGGACTGGCCATCGGGCATACCGGGCAAATGCCCGGTGGGCCGCGATGGCCGTGGGGCCGAGGCTGGCAGGGGATCTCCCCGGCCGGCCCCTGCAGGGCCAGCGCTACCCGAGCGCCGGCCCTGCTATGTGTCTCTGTGGGCCGGTGGGGAGATCAAGGATCTCCCTCACCGGCCCAGAGGCATGGAAATGCGGCCGCCGGCTGGGTGAGGGAGGGAGGAGAGAGGACCCGGCGGAGCTCTAACAAGCAGCTCCGCCGGGTCCTCTCGCGGGATTATGAGCGTTGCCGCGGTTACCGTTGCCGCGGCAACGCTCAGATCTCGCGAGAGTGAACTCTAACCCGCAGGTTAGAGTTCACTCTCACCACTGGACCACCAGGGAAGGCAGCATGGCACCCCACCCCCCAGGCAGAACGGATCTCCTCCCCCCCCCCCTCTCCCAGGATAAAGGTAAGAAGGGAGGGGGGGATATAATTTTTTTTTTATTAATAAAAAATATATATTTAAATAAAAAATTCATTCACTCACACACACAGCACCCAGACACACACAGCACCCAGACACACACAGTGACAGAGCACCCAGACACACACAGCACCCAGACACACACAGTGACAGAACACCCAGACATACACAGCGCACCCAGACACACACACACAGCACCCAGACACACACAGCACCCCCAGACACACACAGCATCCCCAGACACACACAGCGCACCCAGACACACACAGCACCCCCAGACACACACAGCACACCCAGACACACAGTGCACCCAGACACACACTGCCCCCAGACACACACAGCACCCCCAGACACACACAGCACCCAGACACACACAGCGCACCCAGACAACAACAGCACCCCCCAGACACACACAGCACCCAGACACACACAGCACACTCCCACACATATACAGCACAGACATATATATATATATATATAAAATAACCCTCAGTGAGTTAACAGACAAAGAAAATTAGAAACCTAGAATGTGACAGCAGATAAAAACACCCTCACACACAGCACCCCTCTTACATACACACACTGCGCCCCTCACACATACAATAAGTCCTAATATATATATACATACACACACACACACACACACACACTACAGCACCCCTCACACTGCACCACTACACACATTACGCTTCAGATACACACTAGATCCCTTACTCTATATGCACTCTTTATCCTCTATACACACACACACACACACACTGGGTCCTTTACACAGTAGATCTCCTACACACACACACTACATTCCTTGTCAGCAAACACATACAACATTCTGTAAACACACCCTCTCTGCAACCCCTACACACACTACATCACCTATACACACACACACTTCAGCCCGTATGCACACACTCGCTGCATCCCCTATAAAACTATGCCCCCTATACACACACTCTCTACAGCCCCTAGGCACACATATTACACCACAAACACAAATTAAATTGACCTATTTACACAATACCACACCACGCTCTACACACACGCAAACCCACAAGCAGGCTCCAAACATATGCACCGTGCACTTTCCTGGCCCTTTTGTCCTCTGGTATCCCACTTGTGGAGACACCAGAGACAATTTAAAAGCAAACACAGCACAAGCATGTTATTACATTTGCTTGCGCTGCGCAGAACAAATTCAGGGCCTTTTTCTAACGCCAGAGCTCTTCAGCAGGGCTCTGGGCATTGAACCAACATGCTCACTTTGAGAGGGGGCGTGTTGTCATTAGTGATGACAAAACACACACTCTCTGGCCCCTTCTTAGGGGGCCGCTCTGATTGAAAAATGCCCGGGCCTAATTTTTTTCCCAGTCCGGCCCTGCTCAGCAGTGTGTATTTCTCTGTATTCAGCAGTCTGTGAGTATATTCAGCACTTTGTGTGTGTTTTCAGCAGTCTCTGTGTGTACTCAGAAGTGTGTCTGTGTGCGTGTGTGTGTATTCAGCAGTCTGTGTGTGTGTATTCAGCAGTTTGTGTGTATATTCAGCACTCTATGTGTGTATTCAGCAGTCTGTGCGTGTCTATTCAGCACTCTGTGTGTGTTTTCAGCAGTCTTTGTGTGTGTATTCAGCAGTCTGTGTGTATTCAGCAGTCTGTGTATGTGTACTCAGCGTGTGTGTACTCAGCAGCAGGCCGCGATGGCCGTGGGGCCGAGGCTGGCAGGGGAGATCACAGAATCTCCCCGGCTGGCCCCTGCAGGGCCAGCGCTATCCGAGCGCCGGCCCTGCTGTGTGCCTCCGTGGGCCGGTGGGGAGATCAAAGATCTCCCTCACCGGCCCAGAGGCATGGAAATGCGGCCGCCGGCTGGGTGAGGGAGGGAGGGAGGACCCGGCGGAGCTCTAACAAGCAGCTCCGCTGGGTCCTCTCGCGGGATTCTGAGCGTTGCCTGCAGGTTAGAGTTCACTCTCACCACTGGGCCACCAGGGAAGGATGGCAGAACGGCTCCCCTCCTTCCATGGCAGAATGGATCTCCTCCTCCCCCCCCCCCCCCCAGGATAAAGGTAAGAAGGGAGGGGGGGAAATAATTTTTTTTTTTATTAGTAAAATTTTTTTTTACATTTAAATAAAAAAATACATTCACTCACACACACAGCACCCAGACACAGCACCCCCCATACACAGCCCCCAGACACAGCACCCCCAGACACAGCACCCCCCCAGACACACACAGCACCCCCCCAGACAGACACAGCACCCCCAGACACACACTGCCCCCAGACACACACAGCACACCCAGACACACACTGCACCCAGACACACACAGCACACCCAGACACACACTGCACCCAGACACACACAGCACACCCAGACACACACTGCACCC